TCAGTTAGGGGTAGTTTCCTTAGGCCTGAAAAGATTGCTCGAAAAAAAGTATAAACATGAACGCGTTTTCGCTCCGTTATGATCAGTGAATTGTGTTTGTGAAATCATAAGTGAATATAAATAATGCCGCCGAAAACCAGTGGAAAGGCAGCCAAGAAGGCTGGCAAGGCTCAGAAGAACATCACCAAGACCGACAAGAAGAAGAAGCGCAAGAGGAAGGAGAGCTATGCCATCTACATTTACAAGGTCCTGAAACAGGTCCACCCTGACACCGGCATTTCGTCGAAGGCGATGAGCATCATGAACAGCTTTGTGAATGATATCTTCGAGCGTATTGCTGCCGAGGCTTCTCGTCTGGCTCACTACAACAAGCGCTCAACAATCACCAGTCGGGAAATCCAAACTGCTGTCCGTCTGCTCCTGCCCGGAGAGTTGGCCAAGCACGCTGTCAGTGAGGGAACCAAGGCTGTCACCAAGTACACCAGCTCCAAGTAAATATCTCTTGCTGCGTATGCGGAGAAAGAACCAAAACGGCCCTTTTCAGGGCCACAAAATATATTACCAAAAGAAACTACATTTTCAATATACCATTTGTCCTAAATATGTAACGATAAAATTAGTCTTTGTTTTTATATTTTAAAAATTAGGGATATATACCTAAGCTACGCTATATAATTTATAATTATTATTATATTATTCTTATGCATGGAAAAGGGCATGCCAAGAAGAAATCGCCTCAACCTAGATTGCACTGCGTTGCTAACTTTTGGTCAGCAATATTAAATTAAATTTAAAGATGTTACCAGCAGCACAATTTGTCAATTAAAAAAATATTAAATTTGTATAAATTAATTGATTTATAAGCTTAATGACTATAATTTGAATGTTTTTGAATTGAAAGTTTTTTTCTCTTGTTAACGAATGTTGTAGCCCTGAAAAGGGCTTGTTTAAACAAATTTCAGATTTGAAAATCTAAAATTGCGATTTTGAGCGCGGACTGGTACAGATACTGTACTTTTCCAGTTTACTTCTTAGCAGCCGTAGTCTTTGCTTTCGGCTTCTTAGCGGTAGCAGGAGCAGCTGCTTTCTTTATCACCTTTTTGGGCTTAGCTGACGCCGCTGGTTTGGCCTTGGGTGCTTTGGCCACCTTCGGTTTCGCTGCGGTAGTTTTGGCCTTTGTTGCTGCTGGTTTTGCCTTCACGGTTCCAGTTTTCTTGGCATCCTTGGCTTTTGCCTTCTCGGTTTTCTTTTTCTCGGCGGTCTTTTTGGTGGCCACAGCCTTCTTAGCTTTGGGCTTCTTGTCAGCAGCTCCGGCAGCTTTCTTGGCGGTGACACCGGTCTTCTTAACGGCTACCTTCTTGCTTTTGACCTTTTTATCAACAGACGCAACTTTTGGCTTGGGATCCTTCTTGGCCGAGGCTGACAGTTTAAATGAACCAGACGCACCCTTTCCCTTTGTTTGGATCAGCTTTCCATTGACCACGGCCGATTTCAAGTACTTCTTGATGAATGGAGCCAGTTTTTGGGCATCGCATTTGTATGTGGCAGTGATATATTTCTTAATTGCCAGAAGCGAAGAGCCGCCACGTTCCTTCAAGTTCTTGATTGAAGCGTCCACCATTTGCTGAGTTGGCGGGTGCGATGGTGGTGCAGTCGGCTTCTTTGCCTTTGTGGCAGCAGATCCAGTTGCCTTTTTGGCAGCCACCTTTTTCTCAACTGGCGCTGGTGGGGCAGCCACTGGGGACGCGGACGTTGCAACTGCAGAATCAGACATCTTTGTTCACTCGAAAACACTTTTTTGTTTAGAAAATGGCGCGCGCGCTTGCCGGCGACCTCCTTCATTCGGATGAGAATCGAGGAGGAGAGCACTTTAACTATGGGTCTGACACCAGTCATTTGCTGTGCAAATGTTTACTTGAAGTGCAAACTTATTTTCCTGTATTTAGAGTTTAAAAACTTTATTAAAAACAAAGTATTTATTTTTTCACATTCTTAAATAATCCATAAAGTTCTTAGCATTTTTTAAATTTTAATATTTGGTTTTGGCAACCTTTTATAGCTGAATGAACTTGACCATTGACATTTGTAACATGAGCAATTTTTTTTAAAACCTATTTTAAAATAAGAAATCTAACAATTACTTGTACAATTGTCAATTAAAAATGAAATTTAAACTTTTTTCTTTAAGAAACACTGAAAATATACTTACTTTTCATTAAAAAAGTTATTTTATTACTTGTTTTAAGTTGAGCCTAGGCTACATAAAAAGTTGGCTTTCAAGGGAGAAGCAGCCATAGTTTTCGGAATGAAAAAAATATAAATATTTTTAAATTTCATAGTTATTTGTGATTTTCTTAAGCAAATTATTTGTTTGCTTTAGTCGATTACATTTTTCAGATGTTTTTATTTGTAGTTTGTCCAAAAGAGGCTTATTTGTGCCTCATATATGAATCAAGTTAAAGTCACATTGAAGATTATGTCAAAAAAAATTGAAATTTTATTATATTGTTATTCTTTTTTATTTTATTTATTAAATTACGTATTCGTTAACGTTGCGAAGCTATATTCAGCAAGTGTTTAACATTTTTTCGATTTTTTTGATGACGTTTAAAAGTGCAATAAAGTTCGTGCTTGTCCCATATAACCTTGCCCCTTGTATAATCCCACCAATTACCAACCGAAATAAAAAACACAAAATCTATCTTTTTTAATACATTTGATGTTTTATTAAATAAATATAGGATTCAAAAACGTTGCTAAGTTATTTTTAGAGTGATTTAAACAGTTTTTTGATTTTTCTATAACATTTGAGTGGTTTGTGCCTGTTCCACACAACTTTGCTCCCTATAAAAATCACACTATATTCAAGCCGAAATAAAAATATAAACTTGGTTTCGTTCAACAAATTGTTGTCTTTGTTTAATAAATAAATAATTTATAAACGTTGCAAAGTTATTTTCCGAATGTGTTTTTCAGTTTCTCAATTTTTTAACGACGTTTGAATGTTTAATATAGTTCGTGTTTGTCCCATACAACCGTACCCCTTGTAAAAATCCCACCAAGTACAGACCGAAATAAAAATGTGATCTGTTTTAATATATTTATTGACTCATTAAATAAACAAAGAATTTTAGAGTGATTTTAAAAGTTTTTTTAATGACGTTTGAATGCTTATTATAGTTCGTGCTTTGCACATACAATCGTAACGCCATTTGAAACTACCACACCTTCACAACGAATCATTAACTGAAATAAAAAACGAACATAATACATATTTATGAATTAAAAATAAAAAAGCTTGTAAAATAAAAATAAATATCTCATTGAATGTATTTTGTGGTCCTGAAAAGGACCGATTTGTATAAAATATGGTAGCGCAATGGTGGCCAGTTGATGCAGTCTCAACTTAAGCACGCTCGCCGCGAATGCGACGGGCCAACTGGATGTCCTTGGGCATGATCGTCACACGCTTGGCATGAATGGCACACAAGTTGGTATCTTCAAAGAGGCCGACCAGATAGGCTTCGCTGGCTTCCTGAAGAGCCATCACCGCCGAGCTCTGGAATCTCAAGTCAGTCTTAAAATCCTGAGCGATTTCACGCACTAGACGCTGGAAAGGCAGTTTGCGTATCAGCAGTTCGGTACTCTTCTGGTAGCGACGGATCTCACGCAGGGCCACAGTGCCGGGGCGATAGCGATGTGGCTTCTTCACGCCTCCGGTGGCTGGGGCGCTCTTGCGAGCGGCCTTAGTAGCCAGTTGTTTGCGTGGCGCCTTGCCTCCAGTCGATTTGCGAGCGGTTTGCTTGGTACGAGCCATTATTGATATGGATGTTCACTACTGTTCACTTCACGTCTAAAAACACAATAAACGTTCGGCGCGATCGCTACCTACTTATATAGCAAAAGTGGAGGGTTGGAAAGAGAGAGGAGCAGACGCCATTTCATTTGGCGAGCCAAGAGCGAGGCGAACATATCGTTCGCACTCGCTCGGGTTTCTTGGGTTTTTGGTATAAATAGGGGCACGCCGAAAAATTGAAATTAGTTCGTCAGTGACTTTCGTGCAGTGTGTTTATATAGAAAAGAGTGAATAATGACTGGTCGCGGTAAAGGAGGCAAAGGCTTGGGAAAAGGTGGCGCCAAACGTCATCGCAAAGTGCTGCGTGATAACATCCAGGGTATCACGAAGCCAGCTATCCGCCGTTTGGCTCGTCGTGGCGGTGTGAAGCGCATTTCTGGACTCATTTACGAGGAAACACGTGGTGTTTTGAAGGTGTTCCTGGAGAACGTAATCCGCGATGCCGTCACCTACACCGAACACGCCAAGAGGAAGACTGTCACAGCCATGGATGTTGTGTACGCCCTGAAGAGACAAGGCCGCACCCTGTACGGTTTCGGCGGTTAAAAAAACAGTACAGCTTGTACTTCATTCAACAATCGGTCCTTTTCAGGACCACCATTAAGTTTTCGAGAGGAGACAAATTTTCAAAACATTTTAGAATTTCTGCTTTTGTTAGCTGAGAATTCCAAAGTAGGTAAATATTCTTCGCGGCCGTTCGGCAGTTACTAATTCAGGTAGAGAAATGTGCGGCAAAGCAACCACTCGCTTTGTTCAAGATAAAGCTAGCTCCTAAATGTATTTTGTGCAGACTGTACTGCTTCAGATGCAGGCTAACCGGATTGCTAATCCGTCAGATAGCGTTCTGTCATAAATTCGTATTAGTCCCAAGCATCTTAGAATTTTGAAGTGAAAAGAAACTCGGTAATATCGCAGTAAATTATTATGTTCGCTGCAAACAATTTTTTTTACCCGAAATATGAACGTTCTTTCAAAATACCCATTTTATTAAAAATACTTTTGCCTCTATTTGAAAATCTTTACAAATTTTTGGAAAAAAAGGGGCCCCCCTAAAAGGAGGTGGGGTTTTTTTTTTTTTAAAAAATGTAGTGGCTCTCGCTCTATTTGAAAATCTTTACAAATCTTTGGTAAAAACGTGGTCGTCCTGAAAAGGACGGTTGGGTTTGTTTTTATGTACAAGTATGTAGTTGGCTCTGCTTTTGGAACGTTTAAGCCTTCTTCTCGGTTTTCTTGGGCAACAGAACAGCCTGGATGTTGGGCAAAACTCCACCTTGGGCAATGGTGACGCCGGAGAGCAGCTTGTTCAACTCCTCGTCGTTGCGAATGGCCAGCTGCAGATGACGCGGGATTATCCTAGTCTTCTTGTTGTCACGAGCAGCATTGCCAGCCAACTCGAGTACTTCAGCGGCCAGATATTCCATCACGGCAGCCATGTAAACTGGAGCGCCGGCACCAACACGCTCGGCATAGTTGCCCTTGCGGAGCAGACGGTGAATACGACCTACTGGAAACTGAAGACCGGCACGATTGGAGCGGGACTTTGCCTTTCCCTTCACTTTGCCACCTTTTCCACGACCAGACATTTTGATTTGTTTCACTTAGTTCACTTAACACACAGAGAACGAATGCTAGTAAACATATGGAAGCCACATATTTATACTTTTTCGTCTGCTTGTGCGTTCAGTTAGGGGTAGTTTCCTTAGGCCTGAAAAGATTGCTCGAAAAAAAGTATAAACATGAACGCGTTTTCGCTCCGTTATGATCAGTGAATTGTGTTTGTGAAATCATAAGTGAATATAAATAATGCCGCCGAAAACCAGTGGAAAGGCAGCCAAGAAGGCTGGCAAGGCTCAGAAGAACATCACCAAGACCGACAAGAAGAAGAAGCGCAAGAGGAAGGAGAGCTATGCCATCTACATTTACAAGGTCCTGAAACAGGTCCACCCTGACACCGGCATTTCGTCGAAGGCGATGAGCATCATGAACAGCTTTGTGAATGATATCTTCGAGCGTATTGCTGCCGAGGCTTCTCGTCTGGCTCACTACAACAAGCGCTCAACAATCACCAGTCGGGAAATCCAAACTGCTGTCCGTCTGCTCCTGCCCGGAGAGTTGGCCAAGCACGCTGTCAGTGAGGGAACCAAGGCTGTCACCAAGTACACCAGCTCCAAGTAAATATCTCTTGCTGCGTATGCGGAGAAAGAACCAAAACGGCCCTTTTCAGGGCCACAAAATATATTACCAAAAGAAACTACATTTTCAATATACCATTTGTCCTAAATATGTAACGATAAAATTAGTCTTTGTTTTTATATTTTAAAAATTAGGGATATATACCTAAGCTACGCTATATAATTTATAATTATTATTATATTATTCTTATGCATGGAAAAGGGCATGCCAAGAAGAAATCGCCTCAACCTAGATTGCACTGCGTTGCTAACTTTTGGTCAGCAATATTAAATTAAATTTAAAGATGTTACCAGCAGCACAATTTGTCAATTAAAAAAATATTAAATTTGTATAAATTAATTGATTTATAAGCTTAATGACTATAATTTGAATGTTTTTGAATTGAAAGTTTTTTTCTCTTGTTAACGAATGTTGTAGCCCTGAAAAGGGCTTGTTTAAACAAATTTCAGATTTGAAAATCTAAAATTGCGATTTTGAGCGCGGACTGCTACAGATACTGTACTTTTCCAGTTTACTTCTTAGCAGCCGTAGTCTTTGCTTTCGGCTTCTTAGCGGTAGCAGGAGCAGCTGCTTTCTTTATCACCTTTTTGGGCTTAGCTGACGCCGCTGGTTTGGCCTTGGGTGCTTTGGCCACCTTCGGTTTCGCTGCGGTAGTTTTGGCCTTTGTTGCTGCTGGTTTTGCCTTCACGGTTCCAGTTTTCTTGGCATCCTTGGCTTTTGCCTTCTCGGTTTTCTTTTTCTCGGCGGTCTTTTTGGTGGCCACAGCCTTCTTAGCTTTGGGCTTCTTGTCAGCAGCTCCGGCAGCTTTCTTGGCGGTGACACCGGTCTTCTTAACGGCTACCTTCTTGCTTTTGACCTTTTTATCAACAGACGCAACTTTTGGCTTGGGATCCTTCTTGGCCGAGGCCGACAGTTTAAATGAACCAGACGCACCCTTTCCCTTTGTTTGGATCAGCTTTCCATTGACCACGGCCGATTTCAAGTACTTCTTGATGAATGGAGCCAGTTTTTGGGCATCGCATTTGTATGTGGCAGTGATATATTTCTTAATTGCCAGAAGCGAAGAGCCGCCACGTTCCTTCAAGTTCTTGATTGAAGCGTCCACCATTTGCTGAGTTGGCGGGTGCGATGGTGGTGCAGTCGGCTTCTTTGCCTTTGTGGCAGCAGATCCAGTTGCCTTTTTGGCAGCCACCTTTTTCTCAACTGGCGCTGGTGGGGCAGCCACTGGGGACGCGGACGTTGCAACTGCAGAATCAGACATCTTTGTTCACTCGAAAACACTTTTTGTTTAGAAAATGGCGCGCGCGCTTGCCGCCGACCTCCTTCATTCGGATGAGAATCGAGGAGGAGAGCACTTTAACTATGGGTCTGACACCAGTCATTTGCTGTGCAAATGTTTACTTGAAGTGCAAACTTATTTTCCTGTATTTAGAGTTTAAAAACTTTATTAAAAACAAAGTATTTATTTTTTCACATTCTTAAATAATCCATAAAGTTCTTAGCATTTTTTAAATTTTAATATTTGGTTTTGGCAACCTTTTATAGCTGAATGAACTTGACCATTGACATTTGTAACATGAGCAATTTTTTTTAAAACCTATTTTAAAATAAGAAATCTAACAATTACTTATACAATTGTCAATTAAAAATGAAATTTAAACTTTTTTCTTTAAGAAACACTGAAAATATACTTACTTTTCATTAAAAAAGTTATTTTATTACTTGTTTTAAGTTGAGCCTAGGCTACATAAAAAGTTGGCTTTCAAGGGAGAAGCAGCCATAGTTTTCGGAATGAAAAAATATAAATATTTTTAAATTTCATAGTTATTTGTGATTTTCTTAAGCAAATTATTTGTTTGCTTTAGTCGATTACATTTTTCAGATGTTTTTATTTGTAGTTTGTCCAAAAGAGGCTTATTTGTGCCTCATATATGAATCAAGTTAAAGTCACATTGAAGATTATGTCAAAAAAAATTGAAATTTTATTATATTGTTATTCTTTTTTATTTTATTTATTAAATTACGTATTCGTTAACGTTGCGAAGCTATATTCAGCAAGTGTTTAACATTTTTTCGATTTTTTTGATGACGTTTAAAAGTGCAATAAAGTTCGTGCTTGTCCCATATAACCTTGCCCCTTGTATAATCCCACCAATTACCAACCGAAATAAAAAACACAAAATCTATCTTTTTTAATACATTTGATGTTTTATTAAATAAATATAGGATTCAAAAACGTTGCTAAGTTATTTTTAGAGTGATTTAAACAGTTTTTTGATTTTTCTATAACATTTGAGTGGTTTGTGCCTGTTCCACACAACTTTGCTCCCTATAAAAATCACACTATATTCAAGCCGAAATAAAAATATAAACTTGGTTTCGTTCAACAAATTGTTGTCTTTGTTTAATAAATAAATAATTTATAAACGTTGCAAAGTTATTTTCCGAATGTGTTTTTCAGTTTTTCAATTTTTTAACGACGTTTGAATGTTTAATACAGTTCGTGTTTGTCCCATACAACCGTACCCCTTGTAAAAATCCCACCAAGTACAGACCGAAATAAAAATGTGATCTGTTTTAATATATTTATTGACTCATTAAATAAACAAAGAATTTTAGAGTGATTTTAAAAGTTTTTTAATGACGTTTGAATGCTTATTATAGTTCGTGCTTTGCACATACAATCGTAACGCCATTTGAAACTACCACACCTTCACAACGAATCATTAACTGAAATAAAAAACGAACATAATACATATTTATGAATTAAAAATAAAAAAGCTTGTAAAATAAAAATAAATATCTCATTGAATGTATTTTGTGGTCCTGAAAAGGACCGATTTGTATAAAATATGGTAGCGCAATGGTGGCCAGTTGATGCAGTCTCAACTTAAGCACGCTCGCCGCGAATGCGACGGGCCAACTGGATGTCCTTGGGCATGATCGTCACACGCTTGGCATGAATGGCACACAAGTTGGTATCTTCAAAGAGGCCGACCAGATAGGCTTCGCTGGCTTCCTGAAGAGCCATCACCGCCGAGCTCTGGAATCTCAAGTCAGTCTTAAAATCCTGAGCGATTTCACGCACTAGACGCTGGAAAGGCAGTTTGCGGATCAGCAGTTCGGTACTCTTCTGGTAGCGACGGATCTCACGCAGGGCCACAGTGCCGGGGCGATAGCGATGTGGCTTCTTCACGCCTCCGGTGGCTGGGGCGCTCTTGCGAGCGGCCTTAGTAGCCAGTTGTTTGCGTGGCGCCTTGCCACCAGTCGATTTGCGAGCGGTTTGCTTGGTACGAGCCATAATTGATTTGGATGTTCACTCTTCACCGTAAAAAAAATAAACGTTCGGCGCGATCGCTACCTACTTATATAGCAAAAGTGGAGGGTTGGAAAGAGAGAGGAGCAGACGCCATTTCATTTGGCGAGCCAAGAGCGAGGCGAACATATCGTTCGCACTCGCTCGGGTTTCTTGGGTTTTTGGTATAAATAGGGGCACGCCGAAAAATTGAAATTAGTTCGTCAGTGACTTTCGTGCAGTGTGTTTATATAGAAAAGAGTGAATAATGACTGGTCGCGGTAAAGGAGGCAAAGGCTTGGGAAAAGGTGGCGCCAAACGTCATCGCAAAGTGCTGCGTGATAACATCCAGGGTATCACGAAGCCAGCTATCCGCCGTTTGGCTCGTCGTGGCGGTGTGAAGCGCATTTCTGGACTCATTTACGAGGAAACACGTGGTGTTCTGAAGGTGTTCCTGGAGAACGTAATCCGCGATGCCGTCACCTACACCGAACACGCCAAGAGGAAGACTGTCACAGCCATGGATGTTGTGTACGCCCTGAAGAGACAAGGCCGCACCCTGTACGGTTTCGGCGGTTAAAAAAACAGTACAGCTTGTACTTCATTCAACAATCGGTCCTTTTCAGGACCACCATTAAGTTTTCGAGAGGAGACAAATTTTCAAAACATTTTAGAATTTCTGCTTTTGTTAGCTGAAAATTCCAAAGTAGGTAAATATTCTTCGCGGCCGTTCGGCAGTTGCTAATTCAGGTAGAGAAATGTGCGGCAAAGCAACCACTCGCTTTGTTCAAGATAAAGCTAGCTCCTAAATGTATTTTGTGCAGACTGTACTGCTTCAGATGCAGGCTAACCGGATTGCTAATCCGTCAGATAGCGTTCTGTCATAAATTCGTATTAGTCCCAAGCATCTTAGAATTTTGAAGTGAAAAGAAACTCGGTAATATCGCAGTAAATTATTATGTTCGCTGCAAACAATTTTTTTTACCCGAAATATGAACGTTCTTTCAAAATACCCATTTTATTAAAAATACTTTTGCCTTAGTCCTCGCTCTATTTGAAAATCGTTACAAATCTTTGGTAAAAACGTGGTCGTCCTGAAAAGGACGGTTGGGTTTGT